ACCATTTGATTTTCAACAGGAATACCAACTCAATTCAGTGGGGAAAGAATTGTCTTTTCAACAATTGATACCGTGAGAAGTGAATTTCCACATACCAAAGAATAAAGCTGAACCCCTGTACGCTGCCCTATTTAGCAACGTATTTAGGTTGCATTCTTATATTTAAGACCAACAACCTAAATACATGAGCTAAAAACCATAAAACAAAAGTAAACAGGAAAGAATCTTCACGATCATGGATTTGGCAATGGAATATTAGATATGACACAAAAATCATGAGATTGAAAGAAATATTTAGCAAAGTATTGATAAAGATGTAAAGAAAAAGAAAAAACTCACAAACTGTAGTTGATTAAAATAAGAGTAAATCAAGAAGGATATATTTTACCTTGCTAATGAGTTTGGACTTTTTTAACAAATGGGAAGCTAGTAAAATGTTTTAAGCAAGAAATATGAACTGGTTAGTGTTTTGAAAAGATTGCTTTGATGTCAGTGTGGAGAATATATTTAAATGTCTCTTATTACTGAAGTCTAGGAATTTTTATCCCATCAATATTTTATGGTTTCATTGTTATAAATAAACATTAATATGTGCAAAAAAAAGTTTTGTGCATTAAAGGCCATTATCAGGGAAGTGAAAAGAAAACCTATAGAACAGAAAATTTGAAAATCATGTATCTGATAGAGATTTAATATCCAGAATAAAAAACTCTCCAAACTGAACAATAAAAAGGCAAATAACTCAATTAAAAAACCATCAAGGGTGGGGCGCCTGGGTGGCTTAGTCGGTTGGGCGTCCGGCTTTCGCTCGGGTCGCGGTCTCGCGGTTCGTGGGTTCGAGCCCCGCGTCGGGCTCTGTGCTGACTGCCAGCTCAGAGCCTGGAGCCTGTTTCAGTCTGTGGCTCCCTCTCTCTGACCCTCCCCTGCTCACACAGTTTCTCTCTCTCTCTCCTAAGAATAAATAAAAATATATTAAAAAAAAAAAAAAAAAAAAAACCATCAAGGGGAGGGAGTGCTGGGTGGCTCAGTTGGTTAAACGTCCTACTCTTGATTTCGGCTCAGGTCATGATCTCACAGTTCATGAGACTGAGCCCCACATCAGGCTCTGTGTGGACAATGTGAAGCCTGCTTGGGATTCTCTCTACCCCCCTTTGCACCTTACTGCTTGTGTGCTCGTTCTCTTTCTCTCTCTCCTCTGCCCTCTCTTTTTCTTTCCCCTACTCTCTAAATTAAGAAAGAAAAAAAAAACAAGCAAAGGAAGTCAATGCACAACTCTTCAATGAAATCATACAAGTGCCTAAAAAGCACATGAAAAGATGCTCAACATTATCAGTCATCATGGAAATACAAATCAAATGATATATCACTTCTCACTGACCAGGATGGATAGAATAAAAAATAAGAAAAAAATAAACGAAGTTCTGGCAAGAATATGGAGAAGTTAGAACCCTCATACATTTCTGGTGGGCATGTAAAATGCTGCAGCTGCTATGGAAAATAGTTTGGCAGGTCCTCAAAATTTAAACAAAAAGGCTATCATATGACCCAGCAATTCTACTTCTAGGTGTATACTCAAAAGAATTGAAAACAGGGATCCAAATACCTGTTGACCAATGTTCACAGCAGCAATATTCACAATAGTTCAAAGGTGGAAACAACTCAAGTGTCCATCAATGGATAAATGGTTGAACAAAATGTGGCATGTATGTATATATACATTCATATTTACATATACACATGTGTATATATCTCATATATATCTCAATATATATATAAAGAGAGAATATGTATTATCAATTTTAATGTTTAATATACATACTAAAGTTTATTTTGAGAGAAAAAGAAAGCACATGCCTAAGCAGGGAGTGGGGGCAGAGAGAGAGAGAGACGAAGAGAGAGAATCTCAAGCAGGCTCTCTAGAGCCTGATGCAGGGCTCAATCCCATGAAATGTGAGACCATGACCTGAGCCGAAATCAAGAGTCAGACGCTTAACCGACTGAGTCACTCAGGCACCCCAAGTGTGTCTCTTATATGCAGCATATAACTAGATTAATTTTTAAAACTGATGCATGAAAGTTTAACATGTTTTCATTTGTTGAAACTGTTGATGTATTTGGAATTATTTTTGTTATATTATTTTGTGGTTTTTCTTAATCATGTTTCTTTTTTCCTTTATTTCTACCTTCCACTGTCCTGATCAAATTTTCACAATTCCCCTTTTTCGTGTGTTGCTTGAAAGTTATACCCCCTATACCTGTTCTTTCAGCATGCCCTTAAATTTTTAACTTTCATGTTTGAATTCACAAAGCCTACAGTTCATCAATCACTTTCTTTCTCCATAAAGATACAATGACCTAACAATGCTCTAATTCTCGTCTTCCCACCCATCTTATTTTAAGTAGTATTTTAGTTTTACTTTGCTTCAAATCCCATGAAATTATTTACCATAGTTATTAATTTTTACTGCCTGCTTTTAGTTATATTTACCAATATTTTTCCAACTTCTTTGCTCATTTCTTCTTGCATTTTGATACATTGTTTGGTTTATTTTAATTCTTTGGTAACTCACCCATTGAGACAATATGAGTAATAACTCTCATGGTCTCTGAATATCTAAAAAATATGTATTTCACCCTCAAAGTTTGTTTAGTTAGACACAGAATTCTAAGTTGGAAAACATTTTCCTTCAACATTTTGAAGACATTTTCCATTATTGAAGGCATCTATTGTTGCTGGTAAGAAATCTTCCAGTCTAATTATATTTTTTGTAAATGAACAAGTGTTTTATTTCTGGAAATTTAAGATTTTTTAAAATGTTTTTATTTTTATATTTGAGAGAGACAGAGCGAGCAGGGGACGGGCAGAGAGAGACGGAATGTGAAAGTAGGTGCCAGGCTCTGAGCTGCCAACAAAGAGTCCGACACAGGGCTCAAACTCATGAGTCATCAGATCATGACCTGAGCTGAAGTCAGACGCTTAACTGCTTAACTGACTGAGTCACCCAGGCACCCCTCTTTCTGGAAGTTTTTAAGATATTTACCATCTGTAATGCGGTGCAGGTTCACTATGATGCGTCTGCATATGAATTTAATTCTGCTCAGGATTCACGGTGATCCTTCAATCTAATGATTAATATGTAATCCTTAATTTTGAAAATGTACCCCTTCAAATATTGCTTCTTCTTGATTATCATGTCCTCCTGGAACTTTTATTAGATATAAGTTGAATCTTCTCACCCTATCCACCATGTCTTACAACTTCTCTTTTACCTTGCCAATCTCTTTACCCATCTCTGGTGTGATTTCCTCTGTATCTCCTAAACGTACTAATTCTCTCTTCATCTACATTTGCTTCCTCTTCAACCCATTGTAAATATATAACTTACAGTTTTATTCACTCCTTTAACTTTTTAAACATGTATTTACTTGAAAGCCTCTTTCTCACTGGTTTAGTATTTCCCAGGCTATAAAATTTTCCTCCATATTACATCTGATCACATTGCCTCAAATGAGCTCATTTTCTTGGAAAATCTATAATTTTTTGTTACCATGAATCTTCTGCAGAATTTTTTTATGGGAGTCCCAAATTCCCTAGGTTATAAGATGCTTCCTTTGAGGCAGTTTCACACTTACCCTTGTCAAGACCTTAAGGGTTTCACTGATTTGAGACTAGGTATTACTGTTAACTCCTTAGCTCGGTGTCCTCACCATTATAGTCCATTGAACTGTGACCACACCTCCACAATGCACAGGTCTAAGATTCCAATTTATCTCAGGTGACTTTTTCTTAACTATTGTCCAGAGAATAAAGAAAGCTCCTTGATACTTCCCTACACCAATGGGCATACTTTCTCTAGTCCTTCATAACCTTCCAACTTTATTTTAGTTCTACTTCACATGCAGGAGGCCTGTGGTCTGGATTCTCCTTGCCATACAGTTACTACACCTCAGCCTATAATCATTCATGCCTCTATCTAGTTCTGAAATGCCCAAGAGCAATTTTAATTTTAGTTCCTACTCAGTCTTAAATTTAAAATGTTTTATATCTGGCACCTAAAGATTTTTCATTCTTGTTCTGAGCTTTGTCATATATTTATAGTGTAATGATTTTCCCCTTATTCTCCATGTTTTAACTTTTTGCAGGGGATGCAGACTTCATATCCTTTTGTGGGCTTTTAATCTGCCAGACTGATAAGAAATCAACTGCAAAATAAGAATAACTCAAGGGGTGCCTGGGTGGCTCAGTCGGTTGAGCACCTGACTTCAGCTCAGGTCATGATCTCGCTACTTGTGAATTTGAGCCTCATATTAGGCTCTGTTGTGACAGCTCAGAGCCTGGAGCCTGCTTTAGATTCTGTGTCTCTGTCTCTCTATGTTCCTCCCCCACTTGCATTCTCTCTCTGTCAAAAAAAAAAAAAAAAACCCCAAAAATTTTTTAAAAATCTCAAAAAGCATGAAAGACATAAAGTGTTAAAAAGTCTAGTCCAGAGAGATGACCCCTTAGAAGATCAGATTTAAACCAATCACTCTGAGGCACTAAATTGTCCTACAAAATTACTTCAGAAATGAGCCCAATATTCAAACCAGTCAACCAATAGCAAAGAAAGCTTTACCTATGTTTATTTAAGCTTTACCTATATTTATTTTCAAATAAAAATTGAACTTCCTACTTTATTCTTCTGATAATAAAAAACAGTATATTTGAAAGGATGTACTGTCAAATAAATTGGTAAGCATATAAGTTTGTTTACATTTACTTTCACTTTGGTGATGATACCAAAATATTTTAAAGCTGGGACCAGCACTTTTCACAAGGACCTAAGCTAATATAAATAAAAATAAAAACAAAAATAATTAGCTATGTATCTATTTAAAGTATTCTATTATGCTAAACACAGGCATTACACAAAAATGCAAAATCAAAGCAAACAGTAATATGTATATAATAATGTTCCATAAAGATTTCAAAAATAATAATCAACATCATCAAAGCAACATACATTGGAAAATGTTTGGTACTTCAGGTCTATTACCTCTTTGTGCAGAAGTTTCTGGCTGAGGTACAGGAATTCTACAAAAGATAAAAAGAAAAAAGGATTATCAATAGTTACAAAAAGAGACTTAAATGGAAAAAAAAAACCTCATTGGTCCATTCAGAATTTATTCTAATTCAATAAATTTAGAAATTATATAAGTTTAGTTTCTTTAAGCAATGCATTAAAAATTTAAGAAGAATATATTCATATTATGAACAAGCATGTATATATAACATAATTCAAACACTGTGGTAGATTTAAATATTCTTTTAATAAGATGTATCCCACAAAAGGAAGTATTTACCTTTGTTAAATTTCAATGAAAGATGGCTATATATAATATGTATGTGTATATATTTCATTCTTTTGGACAGAAATTTAAAAATTAGTTCAATGGCCTGTTTTCATGGTTGCTTTGTTCAAATATTCTGGGAAACCATCTGGCCTAATTCTCCAGCCTCAGTTCAAAGTTTTCTATAAGCCTCATGCTGCTTCGAGTTCATATTCCTCTTTCAAAATTTAACTCCAGTATTATTTCCTAAAAGAAGCCATCCTTGATCTCTAGTCAAGGCACACTGCTTCTTATACATGCTGTCATACCACCAGGAATAAACTTGCATCATAGCATTCATCACTCTGTATTGAAATTACAGGTTTATGAGACTGTTTCTTCCACCAGATTCTGCTATAAGGTCTACAAAAGTATAGACTTTGTTTTAGTATCTCTATAGAATAGCTACTCAATAACCTTTTACTGAACTGAAATAAATGGAGCAAAGGGAAGTATCTTATTTTGAAACTGAGGAGAAGCCTACTTTTATAAGGAAAGATTTCCATCTTGTGGGCTATTAGCATATTTCTGTGATGAGATTTTTCTACTGTTGAATTTCCAAAACTAAAAGCATAAAGTAAAACAGAAATGTCATATTGTCAAATGCCACTATAATATTGCTCAACTTATTTTATCAATGGATTTTTTTTCTCATAATGGTAGTATTTGTTACTTTGCTAATGAGGTATACTAATGAACTAAAAAGAAGGAACATTCGTAAAGGAAGAAGGCATCCATTTCTTTACCTTTCCCCAGCAAATAAAGGCATGTTTCATAGTTGTAATTTTACCTTTTTTCAATTACCAAAAATATGGTATTTCTAGAAAATAGTGAAAGAAATCTAACTAAAAAATAGTAAAATTACATGTATCTTGAGATCCTTTAACAGCATGTATCTACTGCTTAATACATGTGACTAGGAAGTGACTTTTTCCATCTGAAACAAATTAGATGAAATAGTTTCCAAAACCCTAACAAGCACTATTATATTGTACTGAACTTTAAAAAAAAAAGTGGCTTGGTGGCACAAAAACAGACACATAGACCAATGGAACAGAACTGAGAACTCAGAATTGGACCCAAATGTATACAGCCAACTAATCTTTGACAAAGCAGGAAAGAGGATCCAATGGAACAAAGACAGTCTCTTTCACAGGTGATGCTGGGAGAACTGGACAGCAACATGCAGAAGAATGAAACTGGATCATTTTCTCACACCATACACAAAAATAAACTCAAAATGGATAAAGGACCTAAACGTGAGACACAAAACCATCCAAACCCTAGAGGAGAAAGCAGGAAACAATCTCCTTGACCTCCACCGCAGCAATTTCTTACTTGACACATCCCCAAAAGCAAGGGAATCAAGAGCAAAAATAAACGATTGGGACCTCATCAAGATTAAAAGCTTCTGCACGGCAAAGGAAACAATCCATAAAACTAATAGGCAACCGACGGAATAGGAAAAGATAGTTGCCAGTGACATATCAGATAAAGGGTTAATATCCAACATCTATAAGGAACTCACGAAACTCCACACCTGAGAAACAACCCAGTGAAGAAATGGGCAGAAGATATGAACAGACGCTTCTCCAAAGAGGACATGCAGATTGCCAACAGACAAATGAAACGATGCTCAGCATATCCCTTCTCATCAGGGAAATACAAATCAAAGCCACACTGAGACAACACCTCACGCCAGTCAGAGTGGCTGAAATGAGCAAATCAGAGGACTCTAGATGCTGGCGAGGATGTGGAGAAACGGGCACCCTCCTACACTGTTGGTGGGAATGGAAACTGGTGCAGCCCCTCTGGAAAACAGTGTGGAGATTCCTCAAAAAATTAACACTAGAACTCCCCTAGGACCAAGCAATAGCACTGCTAGGAATTTACCCAAGGGATAAAGGAGTGCTGAAGCAAAGGAGCACATGAACCCCAATGTTCATAGCAGCACTCTCAACAATAGCAAAAACATGGAAAGAGCCTAAGTGTCCATCAAAGGAAGAATGGATCAAGAAGATGTGGTTTACCTATACCATGGAATACTACATGGCAATGAGAAAGAATGAAATCTGGCCATGTGTAGCAACATGGATGGACCTTGAGGGTGTTATGCTGAGTGAAATAAGTCAAGCAGAGGACAGCTACTATATGTTTGCACGTATAGGAGGATTAGGAGGAACTTAACGGAGGACCGTGGGGGAGAAGAAGAGGGGAAATAGTGGGGGAGAGGGAGGGAGGCAAACCATGAGAGACTCTTGAATGCTGAGAACAAACTGAGAACTGATGGTGTGGGGGAGGGGGGGGGTGATGGGCATGGAGGAGGGCACTTTTGGGGATGGGCACTGGGTGTTGTTGGAAACCAACTTGACAATAAACTATTTTAATAAAAGTGGCTCGGGAGATTTTTACTAGAATATGTAATTTGTATAACTTAAAAGTCTTAAAGGTGAGGGGCTACGTGACAGAAGTGGAGGTATAAAATATTGATGGGTATCAACTGAGGAAACTGAAAAAAGAAATGAAGTATAGAAAAATAACAGGGAGAAAGGGTAAAGAGCTAAAAGAAGAGAACATTGCATATGCTGAGTAGTAGCAGAATAATGTAGAAATTATGTCAGAGGCTTGAAGTTGTACTCTAACCTTGTCCTTCTCACCAACTTATTGACCTTAGATAGAAGTCATTCAGATGCTAAAGAATGCCATTCCCTCATCTGATTAACAGGATTATAATTAATATTACTGAAGTCTTAGAAAGCGTCTCATGCAAAGAAATTAAAAGTACTTAATATACATACACACACGTATAAATCCTATATTTTATCTTTTCTGAATCTTAGATTATTCTTTTGTAAAATTGAAATTATTATTCTGTGGGATTATAGGGATGCTGAAGATCTAATGAGGTAAATAATTTTGCATTGTATATCGAATTGCTCTATACAATTAGATAAAGGAATATTTTCAGTGCCTTCTACCTAAAAAAGCAAAAGACGCTATGCAAAAAGGACCAGAATACAATTTTTTTTGAAAAGTTGTTAATATAAGCAAATAAGTTATAATTTACAACGATCAAACATGCTGAAGTCTTTGTGATCATTAATTTAAAATAGCAAATGCTTTTCAGGCAATGACTATTGTTTAAAAACTTTTCATATAGTGCCCTTTGCTTATCTTAGGAGGAAACACTGAAAATGATTTTTAAGAATTCCTCTAGCCATGGTATGATGAAGGTTCATTTTCTCTATGGAGTAAGTATTACAAGTAGAATGAACTGAAGAAGTTTAATGTCTGTTGATTATATTTTATTTCTCAGTGCTAACTTTGGAATGAGTAGATGGACTTTGACTACATCTTAATATCTAACAGTGAGCACCATAGTTCACTACCATTTGTGTTAAATGGTTAATATAACCTCTTAAATGGTCATATTTCCTGTACCAACAGAAGCAGATCAACAGGTGACCTAGACACTGGAGTTAGGAGGCCACAATGTAAAATATGATTTAATGTGTTCCAGAAACAAGGAAAGATGGACAAAGCAGATACATAACCCCAAAAGAGAATATCTAAAAAAGAAACAGCGGCACCTGGGTGGCTCAGTAGCATCTGACTTTGACTCAGGTCATGATCTCAGGGCTCATGAGTTCAAGCCCCATGTCAGGCTCTGTGCTGACAGCTTGGAGCCTGAAGCCAGCTTCAGATTCTATACCTTCCTCTCTCTCTGCCTCTCCCTCTCTCACACTGTCCCTCTCTGTCTCTCAAAAATAAATGCTAAAACAAACAAACAAAAAAAGAATCAAATGGGCTTTCTAGAGCTGAAAAACAAAACAACTAAACTTAAGAACTATGGCACATATCTGGTTTTTGTTTCTGGTTCCTGGTTCTAAAACCCTTAGAATTTCCATAATGACAAGGGTGCCTTTATTACGCTAATGAGGTAACTCATGGTGAGCCACTAGACAGCTTGAAGATGCAAACTGTTATCAGACACATCAAGCATATTATTCAAAGTATGAAACACTGAACCAGCCCAACTTCTATTAAGGTGAGGGGGATGAAGACCAACTTCAATCACATGGCCAATGATTTAATCTATCACACCTAAGTAATGAAATAACCCCCAAAACCGTGGACATCAAGATTTGGTAAAACTTTGTGGTTAGTGAACACACTGATGTGCCAGCAGAGTGACATGCCTGAATTCCATGAGAGGGCACAGAATCTTTGTCTTCCATCTCAGGCCTTGCTGAATGTGTCTCTTCATTTGGCTCTTTCTGATGTGTATCCTTTAAAATAAAACTGTGATTTTAAGTACAGTGCTTTTCTGAGTTCTGTGCATTATTCTGGTGAACTACTAACTCTGAAGGGTCAAGGGAACCTCTGAATTTGTAGCCATTTGGTTAGAAGTATGGCTAGTCTGAGGACCAGCTGAAGTATGGCCAGCATCTGAAGTAAGGGCAATCTTGTGGAGGACTGAGTCCTTAAACTTGTAGACATCAATGCTGACTCTGGGTACTTAGCATCAGAACTGAATTGCAGTAGAGCTAATTGGAGTGGACACAAAATAAGAATTCAGTGAATTCAGATTTAATAGTAGATTGGACATAGTGAAGAGTAAATGGAAAGGTCAATAAAAAATATCCAAGCAGAGGCAGAGAATAAAAAGAAGAATGATACCTACATCTGAGTTGATAAAGAATAGAGTATAAAAACTTGTGGGTCACAGTTATAAGTACTAACATATATAAAAGTGGAATCATAGAGAGGAAATAATGAGGCACAAATGACCTTTGAAGAGATAATGGCAGAGAGTTTTCCAAAACTGATGAGAAACAGTAATCCCCAGATTCAAGAAGCTCAGCAAACTCAAAGCACTAAAAATCAATCAATCAAACAAACAACTCTCCTTGGCACAACACACTTAAGCCTGTTGAAAATCAAAGAAAAAATATTTTTTAAATGTTTTCTTATTGAGAGAGAGAGAGAGAAGGAGAGAGAAGGAGAGAGAAGGAGAAAGAAGGAGAGAGAGAGAACACAAGAGTGGAGGAGGAGCAAACAGGGGGAGAGAATCCAAAGCAGGCTCCGTACTGTTAACTCAGCGAGCCACGCAGGTGCCCTAAAAATCAAAGAAATCTTAAAAGCCCTTAGAGAAAAAGGATGAAGTATCTTCAAAGGTGCAATTGTAGGACATTAGCCTGACTTCCTAACAGAAACAATGGAAGCAATAACACAGTAGAATCAGACATTTTATAAAACCTGTTACCTGGTGAACATATCCTTTAGAAATAAAAGTGAAATGAAGAGGTTTTCAGACAAACAAAAATAGAGACTGTATCATCAGCAAGCCACATTGAAAATATTGCTGAGAGAAATTCTTCAGTCAGAAGGGAAATGATCCCAGAGTCAAGGATAGAAATAAAGGAGAGAATGAAGAGAACCTTAAAAAAATGTGGATAAATATAATGAATGCTAACCCTATAAGAAAGACAATACTAATAACATCTCATAGGATTTAAGATACATGCAGAATTAAAATGCAAGTCAAAAATAATGGAAATGGTGATAAATGGAGTTATAGTGTTCTAAGGTTGTAGCATTATCCGGAATATAGGAAAATAATTTGTATTTAATTACAATAAATTAAGTGTTCAGACTGTAATTTATAGAGTAACCACTGAAGAATATGTAACCAACTAAAAGAGGGGAAATTGAATAATGAAAACTATTTGATTGAGTAAGCAGTACAAAAATTAATATAAACCCAAATAGATCACTAATTCTGCTAAAATTGGGGACAAATACTTTAAGTAAAAGACAAAGATTGCCACATAGGATTAAAAAACCAATTACATGCTGCTTAAAAGTGACAACCTTAAATGCGAAGACACAGGTTCAAAGTAAAATGGATGGAATATACTGTTAAAGGCGCAATCAAAAGACAACTGCTACAGGTATATTAGCATTAGACAAAGCAGACTTTGAGACAGAAAATACTGTGAGAGATAAAGAAAATTTCATAGTAACAAGGAGAGCAAACTATCAGGAAGATATCACAATTCTAAATTTATATGTATCCAGTAACATATTTCCAATATATATTAAACAAAAATAGAACAGGAGAAATAAATCTTTAATTATAGTGGAAGATATTAACACACCTGTCTCACTAGTTGATGGAAAAAACAGACAGAAAATAAGTAAGGATATAAAAGATATAATCAATACAATCAATATCTAATTTACATAATAGGACGCTGTACCCAACAATGAAAGAATTCACATTATTTTCAGGTACATATGAAGCATTTACCAAAATTGCCCCTATGATTAACTTAAGGAAAGTCAACCCATTTCGAGGGATGAAAACAATCCACAAATTTTTTCTTTCCAGAGTGGAAATAAGCTGAGATAAATGACAAAAAAGTTAACTAGAAATCCTCAAATGACTGGAATTTAAACTATACACTTCCCCCTGAGTCAAAGAAGAATCACACAGAAAACTAAAAATTGTTTTTAATTAACTGAAAATTAAGTAGGATGTAGCGAAAGCAGTGTCTCGAAATATATAGCATTAGATGTATACATTAGAAAAGAGCCAAAATTCAAAGACTTAAGTATCTAGCTCAAGTAACTAGAAAAAGAACAGCAAGACTGATTCAGAAAAAAAGAAAACACAAATTACAAGTATCAGAGGATATTAAAATAGATTGTACAGAAACATAACACAATAATAAGATCTTATGAATAATTTTATACCAAATATATTACAATTTAGAGGTAAATGTCAAATTTTTGAAAAATAAAACTGACAGAGGAAGAAATAGAAAATATGAATATTCTAAAATCTCTTAGAGAAATTAAATCAGAATCTTCCCCTCAAAAAATTTCTGATCCAGACAGTTTAACTGAACATTCATTCTAAACATTTAAGAAAATAGTAACCCTCATTCTAGGAATGTACGGATGATCCAATACTCAAAAAATTAATTTAATTAACTACATGAAAAGAAAGTATGTAAAACTCAACAGATCAACAGATTCAGTAAAAGCATTTGACAAAATTCAACTCACATCCATGAGAAAAAATTAGCAAGGTAGGATTAGAAGGAAACTTCCTTAATCTTTGTCTTGGTTATGCTTCTACTTTAGAAAAATCAAAACTGTTAATCATTTATGATTCATAGTGGATGAAGTTTATATAGGAAAAACTCATGCTTAGATAACTGGTGAACAAATATAAGCTATAATATTTTAAGTTAAAGTAAAATACTTAAATAAATGTATTTTTTGTAATTCCTCCTTTTAAACCCATGGTCACTTAATTCATGATGAGCACAGCAGATAACAGGGCTTCTGTTATGGTTTGAATTATATCTCCTCCAAATTTACTCTTGAGCTCCTAACCCTCAGTACCGCAGAATGTAATCTTATGTGGATATAATTTCACTGACAATACAAATTAGTTAAGGTCATGTGGGGTAGGGTGTACCCCCCTAATTCAATGTATCTGATGTCCTTACGAAAAGGGAGAATTTAGGCACAGGCACAGATTGGGGGTGATATTTCTGTAAGCCACAGAATGACAAAGATTGCCAGCAAACCACCAGATGCTAGGGGAGAGGCATGGGCAGATTCCTTTTCAGCAGATTCCTCCTTAAGAGCCCTTAAGACAAACTGACCCTGTGGACACTTTGATCTTGGACTTCTAGCTTACATAACTGTAAGAAAGTACATTTCCATTGTTTAAGCCATACAGTTTGTTTGTAGTACTTGATTACAGCAGCCCTAGAAAATAAATGTGGATTTTGATACCAGCACTACCACCAGAACAGTGGAGTGCTTCTATAACAATTTAAAATGGAGAAGTGGCTTTGGGATTGAGTATTACATGGAAGCTGAAAGAGTTTGAGGTGAATATTAGAAAAGGTCTAGATTTTCTTGAAGACAATGTTGGTAGAAATATGGATTTTGAAGGAGAATCTGTTGAGGGCTCATCAAGAAGAAAGCTGTAGAGAAACACTGTTATCTTGGAGAATATATATATATATATATATATATTATATATATATATATATAATGAACAGAATGTTGCTGGAAATATGAATTACTTCTGGTTAGGTTTCAGACAGAAATGAGAAATTGGTTATTGGAAACTGGATGAAGGGTGATCCTTGTTATCAGAAATCTTGGCTGAACTGTGTTCTGTTGGATGGCAGGTGAAAATTTTATGTGATGAACTTGCACATTTAGGTGAAGAGATTTCTATGAAAGGGGTGAAGGAACATCCTGGTTTCTTTCTCCTTATTGCTTACAGTAAAATACAAGAGGGGAGAGAAAAGTTGAAAATAAAATTGTTAAGAAAAAAGGAACCAGAGCTTTTATACTTAGAAAATTCTCAGCCTATGTATACTGCAAAAAATTAGAAAGCTTCCTCTGGAGGGAACACTAAGGGTGTTGTTGGACAGTAATTTGCCCAAGAGATTAGGTTTGTGATTTGTGGATCCACTCAACCATCTCAGTAGGCATGCTGCTAGCTTGGACTGAAAGGGACATAGGTAGGATGAAATGAAGAAAGGGCTGTCTGGGATTCTACAGTCAGGAAATGAGGTGGTAAGAGATATCCAGCTCTGATCATGTGTTACCCTTCAAGAAAAGACACAATGATCCTGAGGGTAAAGTCCTGCTACTGCTAGGCTTTGAATTTGCTTGTGACCCATGACCCCCCTTCCCTTCCAAAATCTCCCTTTTGAGATGGGAATGCTTATCCTATGCCTGTCCCATCATTGTGTTTTGGACAGGTAATTGTCTAGTTTCACAGGCTCGCAGATGTAAAGAATTTTTCCCCAGGATGAATCACTCTGCACTTCATCCATACATGATGTAGATGATGCTTAGATGAGAGTTTAAACTCAGAGCTGATGCTGGTATGGTTTAAGACTTTCTGGAATGTTATGATGGGTTGAATGTATTTTACATGTGAGAAGGATATGAATTTTTAGGGGCCAGATGGCAGACTTTATGGACTGAATTATGTCCCTATTAAATACCACTATGACTACTAATATATAACCAATTACATCTTCAATAACCCTCAGAATGTGATCTTATTTGGAAACAGGGTCAGTGAAGATATAATTAAGGTGAGGTCTTACTGGAGTAGATCAGTACTCCAGAGTAGGTCCGTAATCTAATATGGCTGGTGTTCTTATAAGATGAGAAAATTTGAACAGAGATATGCACACAGGGAAAAATGCCATGTGAAGATGAAGGCAGCAATTGGGAGTGATCCTTCTAGAAGCCAAGGAATGCCCGTAACCACCAGAAGCTAGGGGGGAGGCATGGAACAGATTCTTCCTCAAAGCCCTCAGAAGGAACTCACTCTGCCAGTATCTTGATCTTAGACTTCAGCAGCCCTAGAAAACTAATACTGCTTCTAGTATAATTGGTCATTTTACAGGGTAGAAACAAGCCAAAAAAATTAATATGCTATGTGTATACTTAATGCAAATGACTTACAATTTGGCACATGGCCCTTGCAGAATTCTTTTTTTCTTGGTAGGGCTCAAACTTTCATATGTAGCTGGAAAATACTGATAGCCCATAGGATCATCATCATCTTGATGCCGTTTATTATTATCTCTTTCCTGACTCTGATTTTCTCCTCGAGCTGCTTGGGATGTTGAGGGTCGGTTAGCATTCTAAAACCAAAAATTCAGAAAGAATATTTTAAACTAATCCACAAAAATTATCTTTCTTAAAAGACTGTATAATTTTAGTTCATTTTTATAATCTTAAGAGTTATGACAACATTTTAAAATCATAAAAGTGCTTTTACAAAGCTGATTTGTAGATAGGTTTATATTTATCCTAATTAATGCAACTGGTATTAAAAAATTTTTTAAAGGAAGATAAACAAAAGTCCTTCTTATGCTAGTATAACTGAAAAGTTGAATTATATATTTATTTCCATGAATATAAATTCTAAAACTAATTTTTGTAAAGATAAATTCATGGAAAAAGTTAATTTATTTATTTTGGTTGTACCTAGATTCCAGTAGTGGCTTTTTCTACTAGAACCTTTATCATACCAAAGTCATTGCTACCTCCTACAAAATCTGGGTAAATATAAAGGTAAAAATTTCCTGTGAAAGTGTTCCTATAGTTCTCTCGACTGGACAAAAGGAATGCAAAAATCGTATATACCACCTGGGAATTTAAATAATCACAATGGGCTCCAATTATGCAGAAAGCAAAAACAAGATACCAAGTTTTGGGGGCCGTGGGAAATATCAGAGGCTGTGACCTTTACCCAGCCTGCTCCAAAATAAATGACAGAAAAAGGAAACAAACAAAAACATAAATAATCTTTTCTTCTTCTGAGGTTTACCATCTTTAAGAGTCAATACATATGAGTTCAGAATAAAATGTACAAGGTACCAATTGTAATTTTGATCACAGTGCTTTCAGAGATATACTATTAATTCTCTGGCACCATACCCGAAGTGTTTCTGATCCTGAAGCACTTTCAGTTGCACTGGCATGGGGGATATACTTTATAACAGTAATTATCCCCTGAATTGCAATGCGCTTTTGTTCCCTATACTGCAAGTCTTCAATCTCCTTCCTCACTTCACTTATAGCTGTCAAGAGCGACTCAACTGCAAAAGAATAATTCCAAGGAAACTGTAAGTTTTAAAGAACTGAAATGATAAAAATAAGAATTAGATTTGCAATGTCATTTTACAATATGGAATCACAAACTTGCTACATAAGTTAAATTTGCAAGATTTCTTTTTATACTTGGCATCATCCCCTTATGTAATTTTTATAAAATAGGCAAAATATACTTATCAGTTAAACTGTGATACAGTTTTCTAGCCTGTTAGTCTTGATTTGAAACAGAAATTTTACATACTGAATGGACAGCTGACCCTTGAACAACATGGGCGTTAGGGGTACCAAACCCCATGCAGACCAAAATCCATGTATAACTTTGGACTCCCCCAAAACTTTACTAATAGCCTACTGCTGACCACAAGCCGTATCAACAACACACAGCAGATTAACACATATTTTGTATATATACTATATACTGTACCTTTACAATAAAGTAACTTAGAGAAAATTTAAAAAAATATAAGAAAAAACATTTACAGTACTGTCCATATATTTACTGAAAAAAATCACATAGAAGGGGATCTGTATAATTCAAACCTGTGTTGTTCAAGGGTCACCTGTAATTTACATATTTGAAACTATAAAGTGTTGCCTAGCCACTGCACAGAAACACACATTTTAATATAAACAACCATATGCTACATATTGCTGGCATTATGAAGATCAAGAGGGTGCCAGTATTTAGATGATAGGTTAGTAACTCAAAGTTTCTTTTTTCCCCAAGTCATGCAATTATCCCACAGCTTAAAGAAAATAATGTATTTATTTTAAACTTTTCAACCATCATATCTTAATTCTACTAAAATAAATTAATGTTAGGCCTTTCATCAGTACTTATTCTGCATCTCATTTATTTTGGTGTCATTTTTATTTAAAGGCAGCGTTCAGCTGTGTAATATCCAATATATATCATTCCACAAGAATAGCATAATACAGTGTCAGTATCTTGATATCAAATTATCCAGTGTCTCCTTTGATATCTTTAGTTTCTCTATGTAATGTCATAGGAATTGGGATTTACTAAAGTCAGATTTTATCTCAATAACATTAAATCAAGATATGATGCCCAGTTAGTCATCATCTATGTTCTCCCTTCTTCTAGTCTAATAAAATCCAAATATTAACCTTTAGGAGTCATGACACGTATTTTTAGGTCTTCATAAAGACAAAATTTTTATCAGTGAGCATTGCCACACGTTATGACATACATATATATAGTACATAAACATATACATGTCTAGCAATTATATTAGTACCTTTGACAGAACTACTATACTTCGAAAATGTCTCTGGCACTGGTGGATAGGGATAATATCCACCAATAACAGTAGTCCTCACTTGCTCAGAATCGGTCCTTGTTTTAATCCAATGAATAAAGTTTTTTACCTTGATATCGTTGGTGTATGGCTGGCCTCTATGACCTTTTGTAAGAAAGATAAAACCAAAAAATGAGAAAAAAAAACCCTGCTGTAATGAATTGTAAAGGTTTTTTTTGTATTAAAACAGCTTAATATTACAAGTCTCTTATGTCACCAAGAAAAGAAGTCAAGTTCACTTATTCACTGTGTAACAGACTACACTTAATATATATACAAAAATTATCAGACACTAAACCAATCCTAAATTGAGAAGGAAATCAAACATACTGGAATTTAAGTGGACTAAAGTGTAGCTGTCGATAGGAGACTGAAAAGTCAAAACAAAAAACTAATAATCTGTATTTTTCTAACTATCAAAATGGTTGGCATCTTCTTAAAAATTTATTTTTAAATCATGTATTCACCTAAAGGTATGACATGTTGAAACGGAACTGCCTATAATATAGCTCAGCATTTAAATTCATGTTCTTAAAATATACTTAACAGTGCCATTTACATCTGATATTGTTAGTATTTATAAAAGGAAGTATTGACGAAGACGTGTATTACATCCTTCCTAGGATTCTTCTATTGACAAATTTCTTAATGATCAACATGGTAGTATTTTAGTAAACCCACCACTCCACACTATTTCTTTACTCACTGGAAAACTTTTATCTCTACTGTTTTAACCCTGTTATCAGAAAGAATAGTGAAAAATAATGTACTTGTAGAAAACTAGTAAGATTCTTCTTGGTATATAAGTAAAATTTGAGATCAGGGACCAAAATCTGATGTACATTATTATTTAGAAATAGTTAATTGTATCCATATTGTGATAAAGGGCCTGATAGTCTTCAATCTGTGAAGCAATTTATGATTATCTACCTCACATCAGGTAGGAATTAATCTTAACCAAAGTACATCAATTGAATTCTCCAGTGAGTCACAAAATCATTGTTTCAGTCATAAATAATCCAGAAGCAATGTATTTCATGGGCTAAATATTCTTTGCTAAAACATTCTCACAGTGATTAAGGAGATCAAAATAAAGCTATCTTGTGGTTAAATGTTTTAATGTAAACATTAATTTAGTGAATAGAAAATATGTTACATCTCCAATAAAATATAAACAAATTGCTCACCAGTAAGAAACACTCGACTCTCATTTGTAGTGGTTAGGTAAAGCAGTTTAGGTACTTGGGCATCATTCCTGACAAGTTTCAACTGAGTACACACGAAATACGTCACTGTAGAAAATAAAAACTGTTAGGAAGGAACTTCTGCATTTAAAGGGGAAATACCAAGATCAGGATCTAACACAGTGCCTCTCAAACCTTAATGAACACAGGAATCACCAGGGACAGTTGTTAAAATGCAAATTGAGATCAGTAGTTTCAGAGTGGGGCCTGAGATTCTCCACTTCTAACAAGCTCAGGGGTGACCCTAGTGTTGCCGATCCTGTGAACACACTTGGAGCAACAAGGATCTAACACTTAACTTTTCCTTTAGATATGGGATCTAACACTTACTTTTTCTTTACAAAGTACAATGGCTGCACCTAACTGAAGTCACTGCTCCCTGCACAGTTGAAGACTGCCAACAGTCTTTCTAATCAGGCACACAACCAAGTGTGAATAGTTATTTCCTACAGAGAAAAAAAGCTTAGTTTCTCCAGAATGCTTTTACTGATTAACCCAATCTAACACTGATCCCTGAATTACTCTGACTCCTTCCACCAGATAGGGATATGCACTATTAACTTAGATTTGTTTATGTAAGTGTTTATCCTAATTAGACTTTAAGCCTCTTGACAGGGCTTATACAACCCCCTCCCCCCATTCACCTTGCTGAATTGTTTTTCACTGTCAGTTACTTAGGTAAAGTTTCTTAAATCCAACATATTTAAATTTTTAACTCATCACATACCCAAACAGTTATGGTCTTATGAACTAGGAAATGAAGAAAAAAATGTAAATACTTGTAATTTCACAATAATGGTAAGTTCTCATTTGAAAGGAATTATTTCCTTAGAGTATGATAATAACTATAAACTCATTTACTGTATCCAACATTTCCTATTTCTTTATTTGGTAGCAACAAAAATAAGGGAAATCTGTTGAAATGACTAAGAATAATTCCTACTTTGTATTACTGTCCCTTTATTTCAAAAATCATATGAATGTGTTACTATTCATGGTTACTATTCCTATGTTGACATAGGAATATTAAAGAAATGTCTGCTTTATGTTACTATTCATGGTTAAATATGTTGATATAGGAATATTAAAGAAATGTCTGCTTCTTACTTCTTGACTGTTAAAAACCAGACATTCTGACCTGACACCTTTTAGCTGTTTGACATCCAGGAAATTACTTAACACCTCTGGACCTTTGTTTCCTCACCTGTAAATCTGTAAAAACATCAACTTTTAAAAAGGTCACTAGGAGCACAAAATGAGATAGCATCTACAAGCATCTGGTATAGCAAACACTCAATATTAGTTCCCCTTAGCGCTTTACTTTCTGTAATCAAAAGTAAAAAAGATGCCCTACTCCCAAAGGATTCTGGTATTATTTCAGAAGACATTTGGTCATGTTCCCCTTCATAGGTCTGAAGCTTCCTTAATACTCATCATTCATTTAATAATTTTTTTCATCTTGGTCAAAAGATGAAAATAAATTGTGATTATTTTCAACTACTGTACTAGAGTAAATCTCACCAAGGTCACCTTTCTTAGATGCATTTCACATTATCATAAGAAATAGAACATGCATACTTGGCAACATTTCTGTGAAAAAATCACTGTCTGAAACTTGTGCCAGCTTATCGTTTGAAGTGGCTACAAAGAGAGAGGGCTCTCTCTCACAAAGAGAGAGGGCCATAAAACCCACATAAAATGAGGTAATAGAATTGTCATCAGAAGTCATCACTATCAATTACTTATGCCCTGAGAGAAGTTACATGAGAAATCATAGCCTGGCTTCCCTTGGAAGCCCATGCCTTGGTTTAGCCAAAACTCTTTCTCCCCTCTCTCTCAAAAGCTGGGGTGAGGTTTAGTTCTATTCGGATATTTTTTTTAAAGTTTTAATCTCACAAGCAGATGACAGAATCTAATAAGGTAATAACTGAATGGTGTATAATGCTGTTTTGCAATAGCCATTAAAGGGGTAGCAGAGCAGCTCTGTATATGGACTCTAGGTATCCTGATACTCTACAATTTTTACCCTGTTGCTGATTTTTAAAAATTACAGGTGGTCAAGATTGGGAGTTTTCCCAATGTTGGCAAACATTTCACAATCAGTATTTTATTCATATAATCACTTTAAAAATAGAAAAACAGCATACAGTATCTATAACAGCTTTATGCTACAAGCTGATATAAGGAAAAACTCACTTAAGTTGTTAAAAAGTATTAAATATACTTCCGTTCTTATCATTATAGATCATAAGACTAACTTGTGTAAAATATATAGTAGGGCATACCTAACATGCTTTCAAATGAATAAAATTAGTGGAAAAATACATACATATCTGAATAAATGCAACTGGAAAGGTCAACATCAAACTAAGTGAAACACTGACCAGCTGCTATAATATCACCATTCTAACATTAACTTAAAACTCAAATGAAACCATACTTACATTGTCCTTACTTAATTACATAGTCTGTCAATCCTCTACCAATTAATTATATACTAGTAAAGTCTTCATTGTCTTTTTTGGGGTCTACTTAGTCAATTTTTAAATACATTCAAAGGGGATTAATTGCCTATGCTTTACTTTCATGGAATGTTAAGATTTTATGCCTGAAACGATAATAATGAGCATTGATAAGAGCACCTGTTTTCTGAAAAACTGGTTTCAATCCCAAATCAATTCTGAATAGAAAACCAGAGGTGGTTAATTTCCATAACACCAAATATAATATAGAAAAAAATTAAACATGCTATCACAACACTCCTTGAATTTGCTAACTCAGTATCATGCTCCTCTCTAAGTCAGTACACTCTTAACATTTTTTTAAAAGTCAATGCCCCCACTTCCAAAAATAAAAAGATAAAAATATTGGACTGAATACTTGGGTAAATATTTTCAAAGATTTCTGGCTGAGATGTAGAAAACAGCTCCACTATAAATGGTTGTTCTGAAGTCCCGTCAGCAATGTGAATCCAGCGATATGACCAAAAATCTTCACGGCTTTCTATATGGATAGAATATTAGAATAAATGAAGGTAACCAATTATGCATATATGAACACAGAACTATTCACTGAAATACTTTTATGACTTTCAATTTTAAAAGCTTACCCTTCTTTTTTGACCGCTGGACCCTTCCTACAAAAACTAAAATGCCAATAACATCACAGATATGATTTTCTGGCATATCATCCAATTCTGACCTAAAAAAAGGAAAATTGTTAAATACTGTATCTTTAAACAGTGAAAAAGCATTCTAAAATTATGACCGTGAAAATGTATATTTATGTAATTGATAGGGCATAATTTGGGGTAGATTTTGAGCAACAATAATACACTGTTTCAGTGTCTAATGTTAAAAATTAATGCTTAAGGTATTTTACACAAGTCCATTTTACCTTGTGATAAAGCGGTGATTTAATTTTGGCAATCTCCATTCAGGTTTCACCTGCTTTTCTGGAATGATAATTATGTTAGTTGGAGGATCTCGGAGGTTCAGGCAGATTTCTGAAAAACAAATATATATTACTTTAATATGACATTTAATACAGATAAAAAAATATACGGGTGTACAAGTTACATAGCACACTATTAGACTGAACTCTTTTAAGGCCACCACTAACCTTAATCAAAAGCTTTCTTCTACTTATTCCTATATTAACATATCTGCTTATCTCTCCACCAAAAGTTAGCCACTGCGGAAATTTTGTGTTTTATGATTTTTCTTTAAAAAAGTTTATCATTTATATATTTTTGCACAAAACACTGTCTTTGTTCTTTTTAAATTTTTTATGTTTTTATTTTATTTTTGAAAGTACAAGTGGGGGAGGGGCAGAGAGAGAGGGAGACACAGAATCCTAAGCAGGCTCCAGGTGCTGAGCTGTTGGCACAGCCGCATGCGGGACTTGAACTCACAGACTGTGAGATCATGACCTGAGCTGAAGTCAGATGCTTAACCAACTGAGCCAGCCACCCAGGCGCCCTTGTTTTTTAACTTTATATGGATGCACTCAAACCATATCCAGTGTTCTAGGGTTACACTTTTCACTCAGCATTATGGTCCTAAAAATCATCCATGTAGCTGCATGTAGGGCTTTTATTTTCTTATTCCCACTGCTGAATTATGTTTCAGGGTGTTGATATATTACAATTTTACTTACCTACTGTCATGTTGACCGACATCTGGGTTATTTCCTGTTTTTTGCTACTACAAACAGGGTCACTATGAACTTTTTGTACATATCTCCCTATGCACACAGGCCAAATTCTTCTAGGGTATAATACCAAGGAGGAAAACCCTGGATTGGATAATGTGCAAATGTTTCACTCTACAGGAATTAAACCTATTTATAGTTCTACCAGCAATGTGTAAGAATTCCATTGATCAACATCGTCTCCAAATTTTCCTGTCAAATTTATTTTTTGTCAATCTAGTGACACAAAATGACATTTGTTGTAGTCTTATTTTGTACTTCCTTATCATTAATCATGTTGAACAACATTTCATATACTTATCATTCATTCATGCATCCTCTTTTGTGAAATACCTGTTTGTGTCTTTTGCCCACTTTTCTATTGGATTGTCTTCTTATTTAAAGGACTTCTTCATATATACTGAATACTAATACTTTGTTGATTATATTATTGCAAATATATTCACCCACTTTGCAGTTTTTCATTCTTTTTATGGTGTCTTTTGATGAAAAAAAGTTTCTAATTTCAATGTAGTTAGGTTTAATAATCTTTCATATACAAATACTATTTCCTGTATCCTATCCAAGAAATCCTTCCTTATCACAAGGTCAAACGCATATTTCTTACAAGTTCTTCTAAAAATGTCGCTTTTTACATTTGACGTATCTGGAATTTGACTTTTTATACGGTATGAGATAGGTATATGTCATTTTTTCACCAATTTTTAATTAACTGTTCCAATACTATTTACAGAACAGTTCTTCCTTCCTTGATTATCTGTACAACACGTATGTCCTATTAAAATGTGTGTTTAGGGCTATTTCTCAATTGAATTATGACTTGCTGATCATTCTGTCTATACCAATGCCAATGTTACATGGTCATAAATCTTTGTATCAACTCATACTATCTGTAGAACAAGTCTTCATTCTGCAGCCCCCTACTATTTTTCTTCAGAACTGTCTTGACTGCTCTTGATAATTATGTGCCTCCATATAAACTGTAGAATCAGCTTATCAGTTCAAGGAAAAAAATATTTTCTGGAATAGGCTTGAATCTTCAGATCAATTCAGACCAATACACTTACAAAATTGATACTGACTTCCTACATGGGATATTTCTCCATTTATTTAGAGAATCTTTAATGTCCTTCAATAAAGTATTATAATCTTCTCCAAACAGGTCTTACTTATCTTCTGTTAGATTTATTTCTAGATACCTTGTAGTTATTATCGACAAGTTATAATTTTAAAATTACAATTTCTGTTATTGCAGTACACAAAATCAACTGACTTCTGTATACTGGTCTCATTGCTAACTTTGCCAGTATCTTACCATTTTTAATACTTTGTGTTATTTTGGATATTTTGTAGAAAATCTAATTTTGAATAATGACAGTTTTGTGCTTTTCTTTAAGTTCCTTATGATTTTAATGCATTTTGTCTTCACACTGGCTAGGGCAGCCAGTACAACATTAAACAAAAATAGGAATATGAGACATCCACGTTCTCTATTTGAAAAAGTAGTGTTTCTAAATTTTCCCTGCTTAGAGTTGTGTATGTTTTGTTTTGATTTTGTAAACATCCTTTACCAGGTTAAGGAAAAGTTCCTTCTCTTGCTATTTTCTTTTTTAAATTTATGAACTGGTGTAAAAAGTTCACAAATGCCTCTTGTGCCTCTATTAGGATGACCATTATCTTCTTTAATCTTTTGATGTGATGAGTGACATCACAGATTTTCATATGTAAAATAAACTTTGCATTGCTGGAGAATGATGCAACTTAATCACAATGAGTAATCATTTTTTTAATATATATAACTGAATTCAGTTTGCTAATATTCTACTTAAAATATCTGTATATATATTCAAGGCTGAAGTTAGCCTTTAATTTTTTTCTTTCATACTATTCTTTGGTTTTATCAAGGTCATACTGGTAGCAAAGAATGAGTTATAAAGTATGCCCTCTTTGTTTATTTTCTAGAATAGTTTTGGAATGATATATTCTATGAATTTTGGGTAGAATTTGCCTATAAAATGACCTATGCTTGGTATTTTCTTTGTGGAAAGATTTTAAAACTTTGATTTAATTTCTTTAATAGTTATACAGCTATCTGGGCTTTCTATCCCCTTTTATGCAGTAGGTAATATTTTCTAAGAATTTGCTGTGTATGAAACAAAGATTAAAATAGAACGAAGATACTTAATTTTTCATCCTATTACCAGCCATGTGACTATAAAATTCAATTACCTTTATGAGTTTTAGTCTTTTTGTATATAATGAGGAAAGTTTGTGTTACATGATATTCCTGCACCCAGACAACAGTCTGCAGTTTACAAAGCACTTTCATAGTCATAGTTACTTGATTATATTTAAGTTCCCTTTCAGCTACAAAATGCTAGGATTTTTAATGAAATAAACAGCCCCTTCCCACCAAAACCCAAAACACTTATCTCAATAGGTATTATACAAAACAGTCTGAAAAATCTCAAGATTTTTAAATGTTGGAATACTACTTGGTGATCAAAAAGAATGAAATCTTGCCATGTGCAACAACATGGATGGAACTAGAGTGTAATATGCTAAGATAAATAAGTCAGAGAAAAACAAATATATGATTTCACTCATATGCAGAGTTTAAGAAACACAGCAGATAAACATAGCAGAAGGGAAGGAAAAATAAGATAAAAATAGAGAGGAAGGCAAACCAAAGAGACTCTTAAAGAGAACAAATTGAGGGTTGCTGGAGGGGTAGTAGGTGGGGGGATGGGCTAAATGAGTGATGGGCATTAAGGAGGGCAGTTGTTGGGATGAGCACTGGATGTTACATGGAGGTGATAAATCACTGGGTTCTACTCCTGAATCCAATATTACACTGTATGTTAACTAACTTGAATTTAAATAAGTAAGTTAAAAAAAATGTTTATGTGGGTATGCTAGCTGAGTACTATTTGATAATAGGACAGAATGATACCCAAAATGCCAGTATATAAAACCGTACATTACCAGCAAATATGTTCTGTGTTTTATGACACATTTATTTGGCCTTCAAAAAATTACATCTCAGTGTCTCTTAGAAACACATGTAAATATGAAAAAATAAACCAAAATAATTACCCCAATAGTTGTCTTTCAACATCAGCATCTAGAAAGCAGTGATGGTACCACAAATTTATTCCCTTACTGTCCAATCCTAGCCCCCACTACATACTCTTTCTCATTTATCCTATTCATAACACTTAAACTACCCTGATACTGTTCCTAATCCTTAAACTTTCTCCTATCCAACTCATTCTCCTACTCTCCCAACCATTCATTTTTTCTTCAACTGCATTTCTGTTCATTTCCTCTCCCCTTTTGTTCATCATATCTTCTTCTTGTTTACTGTTATTGATCTTTCATTTTACTGTAATCTGTTCATCTTACTAATGTTACTGTCAGACTAATTTGTTTTCAAAAATTTTTTTAAATTTCTGGTTAATGTACTGTGTAATATATTACTCTGTTAGACTAGTTTTTTAAGAGTAGAACTCTGCATTACTTACCTTTGTATCTCCTGCATCTAGAATGGTTTACAGAACTGTCATTTCTCTTCAAAGATCATTAATTCATTTGAGCTTTTTAAAGATCACAAATCAGTAGTTCTCAACTCTAGCTGTATATTAGAATCACCTGAGGAACTTTTTTTTTAATTTTTTAAATTATTTTTTAAAATTTATTTTTTTTTTAATATTTTTATTTATTTCTAGGAGAGAGAGAGAGAGAAACAGCGTGAGCAGGGGAGGGTCAGAGAGAGAGGGAGTCACAGACTGAAACAGGCTCCAGGCTCCGAGCTGGCAGTCAGCACAGAGCCCGATGAGGGGCTCGAACCCACGAACCGCGAGATCCTGACCTAAGCAAAAGTCGGACGCTTAACCGACTAAGCCACCTAAAATTTATTTCTGAGAGAAGAGCGTGAGCAGGGGAGGGTCAGAGAGAGAGGGAGATACAGAATCTGAAGCAAGCTCCAAGCTCTGAGCTAGCTGTCAGCACAGTGCCCGTCGCAGGGCTCGAACCCACCAACCGTGAGATCATGACCTGAGCCGAAGTCGGACGTTTAGCAAACTGAACCACCCAGGCGCCCCAAGAGTAATTTTTTTTAATGTTTTTATTTATTTCTGAGAGATAGAGACAGACAGCATGAGTAGGGGAGGGTCAGAGAGAGAGGGAGACACAGAATCTGAAGGAGGCTCCAGGCTCTGAGCTAGCTGTTGGCACAGAGCCCGACGCAGGGCTCAAACCCATGAACCGTGAGACCATGACCTGAGCTGAAGGTGGACACTTAACCAACTGAGCCACCCAGGTACCCCCACCTGAGGAATTTTAAAGATGCACCAATATCTCGGTTCCCTCCTCAGAGTAATTAAATCAGAATCTCTGAGAGTGGTATGCCTCCAGTTCTTTAAGGCTCCCCAAGTGATACTAATGTCCAGGCAAGGTTGAGATCTGAGTATATGTGTAGGCTCAGCAAACTATAGCCTGCAGATGGTTGATTGTCTTTGCAAATAAAGTAACACAGCCATGTCCATTCCTTACATATTATCTATGCCTTCACTCTATAAATGCAGGGTTGAGGGGGTACCTGTGTGGCTCAGCCAGTTAAGCCTCTAACTTTTGATTTCGGCTCAGGTCATGATCTCATGGTTCATGAGTTCAAGCCCCGTGACAGGCTCCATGCTCACAGAGCAGAGCCTGGTTGGGATCCTCTCTCCCTCTCTCTTTGCCGTCCTTTGCTCATTCTCTCCCTCCCTCCCTCCCTCCCTCCCTCTCTCAAAATAAACATTTTTTAAAAAGGCAGAGATGAGTATTTATGAAAGAAACTATATTGCCTGCACATCCTATAATATTTACTATCTGGCTATTTACAGAAATAGCTTGCTGACCCCTGATAAAGAGGAAAAAAGTCCTATTATCAAAAAGGTATGGGATAGGGGCACCTGGGTGGCTCAGTCGGTTAAGTGTCCAACTCTTGGTTTCAGCTCAGGTCACAACCTTCTAGTTTGTGAGTTGGAGCACCACACTGGGCTCCATGCTGACAGCTTGGAACCTGCTGGGGTCTGTCTCTCTCTCTCTCTCAAAAAAAAATAAAATAAAATTTTTAATAAAAGGTATGGAATAAAGTAGACTGATGCTAACACTGATAAAAAATAAAACTGTTTTCAAGACTAAAAGAAACATTTTCAATATATTCATCAAGGCTCTCGTTTAAAAATGATTTCTGTATTTGCAATTATTTACTTGAAAGTATAAATAATCTCTCAAATCTTAAAGAGTTTCCACTATGAAAATCTGGACCTAGAATTTTATATAGCAGAGGTAGCATAAGTGCTTGATTTAATTTCAATGTTAAGTGTTAGTAGCTGTTTATCTATTGACCACATGCTATCTATTGTTCTACTTTTCATATGTTTTAAAGGTTTAGAAACAGCTATTAGTACCAGATACATTTCTAGATTTCCCACAGCCATGTAAAAATTGAGATTTGAATTAATTGTCTTTATACCAGGAAAACAGTGTCTCATAAAAAGAACACTAGGTTAGGTATCAGAAAAACTAGGTTTTCACTATGTCAGTGATTTATTATGTGACATCAACAAAGTCACTTACCTTACCCCTTATTGGCAAATGTCTCATTTTTACTAAGGCAATTTTTTCACATAGATATGCTTGGTTACGGAAAGAATTTACAAATTGATAGATATAATATAATAAATGTTGTGAGTTCATTTCTTTTTGCCAGTTTTTACTGTATTTTTCGAGTAAGTCCCAACATCAATATCATTAAAATTTCTCACCCTTCTATAATAAAGAGTAATGAGATAATGGATTAATTGTACCAAACTACTAGGTAAAATAACTTGTTTATCCAGCAAGACATGATTGATGCCTACTAAATCCTTAAGATTTTAACAAGGAATCATATGAAATTTCCCTAAATAAACATATATCTAAGGAAACACTGAACAAAGTCTGTGTATTATCTGCACATCCTCTATGTAATTAAGCTTAATGCATCAGTAGGGAATTTAGAATACAAAGAAATACAGGTTTAGTATAAAAATGTTATGAGCCAAAGACAACACTTAAACTTGTTGAATGATATAATCTACAATTCTAAAAAATAGAAAGACAAAAAATTCATATCCATATCTGAAAGGAATCACTTAATATATTAATTTTAATGCTCCAAAAATATTTAGAATGATGCCACGATGTCAAAACTTTGGTTTTAATACTAATTAGGAAAAGCAGCAATTCAATTGCATTTGAATATTGACCACAGGTTAGATAACATCAGTTTATCAATTTTAAATTTCCTGAATTTGATAACTGAACTGTGATTATAGAACACAATGTTCTTGTTCTTAGGAAATTACACATTGAAATATTACTGATGTGTTTTGAGATAAAAGTATGTGTGATGGCTGCCACTTACTCTCAAATATATATAATATATATACAAATTTGTAATATGTACATATATACTTGTAATATATATATTTAGATTTATGGAGGCAGGGAATAATAAAGTAAAGGTAAATGTTAACAACTGTTGAATCTGTGAAAAGGGTATATGGGAGTTCTTTACACTATTCTTTCAACGTTTATGTAAATTTGAAATTATTTCAAAATAAAATGCTGATGAAGCCCTTTTGAATAGCACCTTATAGTAACAGAAAATTATATTTAAGTCATTAATTCCATATTATAAAACAAAAAGTAAACAAATATAAGTATATCCTAAGTGGCGCTCATTCATTAATCAATAAGTATCTCACATACTTTTTCTTAATAAATGTATTAATAAATAAATATAGTTATTAAGTGATTGCTTAAAAATGTTATGGATAAAGGAATTTAAAAGTTTACCAGGTTCTAACAGATTCAGCAATTTTTAAGAGCCTTTGGCTGATATAGTTCTTTTCACACTTATACAAACAAAATAGCCATAAAATAACACGTTTATTGAATACTTAACCCATTGTAGAAATTAGTTTGATCTGTGGATCCACAGGGAGAGGCTGCATCCTGAATGGATAACTCTTTTTAACAGAATAATCCTGAAGCAGAAGAACTAAGCCAACCCGCAGACTTTTATACCACTCGGGACATAGGGCATTCCACATGATCACTGACACCGTGCCTGAACTGTCAGCAACTTCCAAAAAGGTCTAGAAAAAGAGTTAAAAAGCACATGCATATTTGTTACTTCTATCTACAGGGCATTCTAATGAATGAGAATGAGAAAGCAAAGCTACACGGGAATGACTGAATAAGTTATTACATGGTAAAATCTGTAACTATGCAAAGTTATGAATGAAGGATTTTTAGTGATAGAAAATACTTAAGGAAATGTTAAATAATACAAAACTGTGCATACATATGATTTTCATTTTGTAAGATAATTTATCACATAGTCATGCAATATATGATATGCATACATATACACATAGATGTGATCTATACTACACATATCAAAGATATGTGCATATGTATGATATGTATATATGTGTGTAAACATATGATATATTCATACAAAAACGGGGATGAAACACACTTTAATATTAACAGTGATGCTCTCTGGTAGAATTTGGGGTGAATTTTTCAGATTCATATAGCTTTCTTCTGAAAAAAATTTTTTTAATGTTTTATTTATTTCTGAGAGAGAGAGAGGCAGCGTGAGCAGGGGAGGGTCAGAGAGAGAGGGAGATAAAGAATCTGAAGCAGGCTCCAGGCTCTGAGCTAGCTGTCAGCACAGAGCCCGATGCAGGGCTCAAACTCACGTACCGTGAGATCACGACCTGAGCCGAAGTCAGACGCTAAACTGACTGAGCCACCCAGGCGCCCCATGATTTATATAGCTTTCTACATTTCCAAATTGCCTCCAAGTATGTATAACTTTTATAATGAAAGCTTAATAAAACACCTAAAATAATTCTTAACATCATGTGAAAATATAGTAAAATGTCAGGTAAAAAAACAAACAGGACAGAAATCAATGAAGTAGTTCTCATTGGCATTATAGGTCACAGAGAGGCAAGATAACAGGAAAGTATCATCTAGATTTGACAATTAAAAGGTTTCTAGTGAGAGCCCAGCTGAAGAAAAAAGCCAAACCAATGTGTTTAGAAGCAAACAGGAGGCAAGGAAGTGAAAACATCTAGTGGAGACAACTCCTTCAAGGAGCCTACCAGAAGAAAAGGAGAGAGGGAATAGAGGAGTCCTGAGGTCAAAGGGGAATTTTTTTTTCTTTTTTAAAATGAAAGGCCAGAGTATGTCTATATGCTGGTGTAGAAAGCATAGTAGAGAAGAAAAGGTTGAAGATACAGAAAAGAGTATGAAGGAGACCAGCTGAATCAGGGAACTATAAAAAGGTGCCAATACAGAAAGAATTTCTTTTTGTACAAGAAATTACATAAAAAATACCCTGAAAATTGTAAATTATTAAATTACACTTATAAAATATAATTTGAACATTAATTATCCTAATATGGAGTTGGGTCTGTAAGTTATAACCTATAACTGTTACATTAACATGTCATATATTATCATTATGTATACCTGGTATGGCTCAATCATCTTTTTATCAGGTTTTCCATAGTATCGCAGTTTGGATTTATGCAAGATTCTCACAAGCAATGCAGGAAAATTTCTTCTGTTAGACCAGGTCATCTCAAGGTGAGAAAGGGAAATTATTTTGGTATCTAGAATAAAAAAAAATAGAATAGAAAAAAATTCTACTTAATGTCATGGTAATTTAAAAATTCTGTTTTAATGGTTAAAAATGGTAGCCACATCATCCCCAAAGCAACTCCTTCTCACCAGCTAAGCCAGTCTACATACTTCTCACATATAGAACTTAACAATACACATTATCCTTAATAATAATAGCTTATATATATGCGCCTTACTATATGCCTCGAACAAAGGTAAGTATCTATATTAACTAACATAGTGTTCTATCTCAAATGCCCTCCACCTTGTCAAACTGGGTAATTACTTCCTGAAAGACTTGAATCTAAACTCATCCCCCCTAGGTGGGGGGAATGGGTGAAATAAAGGGGATTAAGAGAACATAAATCCTGATGAGCACTGAGAAATACATGGAATAGTTAAATCATTATATTGTACACCTGAAACCAATATAACACCATATGTTAATTATACCTCAATAAACTCATCTCCCTTAAGAAACTTTGTGGGGAAAACTCAATACCATGGAATGTTTTCCCACTACTAAGCACTTACATATCTAATTTATACAACTGTTTAATGACATATTTATGTATTGCCCTCATCGTAGTTGAATATGTGTAAGTTCTATAATTCCCAAACTTGCCAGACGTAGTCCTGCATCAGGGCCTTTGCACTTGCTGTTCTATCTGGAATGTCTTCTTAGATACCAGAGTGACTTCCCTCCTCCTCTCCTTCAGGTTTTGCTCAAAGGTCACTTTCTCAGTGATGTTACCCCTTACTACCCTACTGTAAACTGATCCCTTTACTTATCCCTCATCCCATCTTATTTTTCTACATAGCACTTATTATCTTCTCATATGCCATACAATTTACTTTGAAAGTTTAATCTCCACACCTGCTGGCAAGTACAAAAACTGCGTAAAAGCTATTCACCATCTTTAAAGATTAACTTGTAGTTTTTATTTTATTCTTCCTTGGGTTAAGAGAGGGTCCATTTACATTTCTCTCTACAATTTTGCTCCCTCACAGGTCAGCCCCATTTTTTAAAACCTGAATTTGTATTTGCTCAATATTTTATTTCACAAGATACCGCGCACTTCCGTTTTTATTTACATAATGTATAGCCTACTCAACATTTTGGCATGAAACCATACTTGTAATTTCTTTTTAAAAGAATTTAAATGGAATGTTGTAGTTATACCTGTATCATAAAAAATACTATTTTTAGAGTTAGGACATCTTGTATAATTTTCCTTCTAGATGAATGGCCTAGAATCATAGGTCCTAAAATTTGAACTGACATTATTAAGTGATTTCCTTTTTAATTAGATCAGACAAATTGTGGATCAGATTTGAATTATCTGGAATGTATGTGGAACACTCTTGATCAATGAAGGCACATACAACTTCACCAACTAGAATAAATTCAAGAGTTACATGCTTTTGTAAAGCCAGAGTTCTAAGAGCCACTTCTGCTATAATTGGGTCCAGAGAGTTAGCTGTGATCAGACATGTGCCTGGTTAATGTTTTCCCAGTTTGGATTTTTAACTCACAAACTCCATAGAATATACGTATCTCTCAAATCAAAAAAGAAATTACTGGCTATACATAGACAATGAAGAATCTGTATAAATTCACAGAAATGTGTTCATTACAAAAAGAATGAAAATAGATACCCAATATAAAATGTTAGATAGTAAGCAACAGAACAGTGATTCTCAAACTCTCTGGTCTCAGGAGCCTTTTACATTCTTAAAAATTACTGTATTATTTTGTCTTCCAGAGGAGACGTAAGGAGAATTATTGTCATTTCCAAGGTAAAACGCCAGTAAATGATGAAGCCAAGTCATAAGCTTAAGACAGTCTTATTTCAGAGCTAATTTAAAAAAAATAATACAGTTGACCCTTGAACAACCATTTGGTTCACTTAAATGCAGATTTTTTTCAATAAATATGCATACAGCAGTGTAAAAAGAAACTGTAGCCTTCAAAAAGCTTTTATTTACGTATCTATCATCATTTGCCATATTACAAAGCAAAACTAAGAAATAAAAAATATTCATGACTCCTTTATATATATATATATACACATGTAACACATATGTATATATATCATTTACATACATATGTAACACATATGTATATATATCATTTACATATGACTATTTTCCAAAACAGAAAACGCAGTGAGAAGAGTGGCATTGGTTTACATTTTTGTAAATCTTTTTATTTTTAAAAATTTTTAAATGTTTGTTTATTTTTGAGAGAGACAGAGTGCAAGTGGGAGAAGGGCAGAGAGAGAAAGGAAGACATAGAATCCAAAGCAGGCTCCAGGCTCTCAGCTCTCAGCACAGAGCCTGATGCAGGGTCTGAACTCATGGACCGGGAGATCATGACCTCAGCCAAAGTCAGACACTTAACTGACTGAGCCACCCAGGCATCCCTGTAAATCGTTTTAGTGTTTAGCTTAATAGAAGACAGCTGGATACTCCTATTCTTTGGCATTCAGTCTGTTTCAATGTCACATGTCATGTAGCCTCTGGAAGATTCCACTGTATACTTTCAGAAAATTAGAATGAGAAAAGGTAAATGCATATTATGAAAACGGTTTTGATGTTGTGAATCCCTTGAAAAGGTCTTAGGGGACACTTCTAGGGGTCCTTAAACCATACAATAAAAATCACTGTAAAGGAATGCCAAAAGGAGTAAAGAGCTGAAAATAAGTTATTAGTAAAAAGTAGAACTGTTAAATCCGATTCCTTGGAAAAGTAAATGAAAAGGTAGATCTCTGACAAGTACAATCATGATGACAGAAAAAAATATGTTTGAAATGTGATCAACTATAAACCTAGAGAAAAACTATTGTCATATATGATTATATATCACTAAACTTGAAACTATCAGTGAAATAGATAATCTTCTAGGAAAATCTGAATTATGAATATTGCTTCAAGAAGAAGAAAACTGGAATACATCAATAACCATGGAAGAAAATGAAAAAGTTCACAAATAATGACCTCCAAAAATGGCACCGGGTTCTAACAATTCATTTAAAAAACGTAGATCATTCCTGAAAAATTATGACAAAAGTAGTACAAAGGAAAAAAAACCCTATAAATCCAAACCATTTATGATGGTAAATAACCTAAATCAAATACTTTCAAATCCAATACAGCAGTATGCCAAATTGCATTATGACCAAGTAGAGTCCTAAACACCTTGTATTGTTCAGGAGGAAGAAAAAATAAATTGTGAATAATAAATTGTGAATAATTCTGGAGACTGGCACAAAAATCTTAAGTTTAAGTAATTTTGTTAAAAAATTAAGGGTAGCCACTAGGAAAATACAAAGTAATGGATAACTTCTAAAGCACTAGAAGAAAAAAAATTTAAATCTTGCAAAAGTAAAAACAAAATCATCATAAAGGCATACAGTAAACATAAAGTAGTTTTGCAAGGAGAGGTACAAACATCAGTAATAACTTTAAATTTAATTGTGGATTAAATTCATCTGATGGGGCACCTGGGTGGCTCAGTCGATTAAGCATCTGACTTCAGCTCATGTCATGATCTTGCGTTTCTTGAGTTCAAGCCCCGCATGGGGCTCCGTGTTGACAGCTCAGAGCCTGGAGCCTACTTTGGATTCTGTGTCTCCCTCTTTTTCTGTTTCTCCCCTGCTCGCACTCTGTCTCGCTGTCTCTCTCAAAAATAAATTTTAAAAATTAAGAGTAAAAAATGTAAACAATAAATTCATCTGTTAAAAGAAAAATAACTGGGTCAAAATCACAAAATCTTAGCTATATATGTTTTTAAAAAGACAAATGTAAAACAAAATAGAAATAAAAGGATGGACAAAGATACATACACTAGGTCAGTTCTCAAAATGCAGCATTTGTACCACCAGCATCATTAACAACAGTGAACTTGTTAGAAATGCAAATTCTGAGGCACTACCACAATCTACTGAATCAGAAATTGATGGGGGGGGGGCAGAAATCTGCATTCTAAATACTTTTGAAGTGATATAGATGCCCATTCATGTTTGAGAACCACTGCCCCAAATGCCAACTGAAAGACAGCACTAGTAAATAGTGCTATCAGACAAATTAGATTTCAAAGCACAAAAAAAAGGACAAGGAGACAAGCTGCATACTGATAAAGGGTAAAACTCACCGAGATATTACTGTGTTATGAAATGACACATTATAGTAACGTCTAAATCAAAAATTTTTATAAATACAAGGAAAAGTGAACAAAATTACGGTCATAAAGAGAAGTCAATATTCCTCTCAAGGAAATGGGCAAATAAAATAGATTTTAAAAGAAGAATATGGAATACTTCAAGTAAATTTTTTAACCTTGGTATAATAGGGACTTTGTATCTAATAAGTAACCTTTTTCTAAAACTTTGAGGATTGAAGAGGAACTCAAATTTAAACTCAGAAAATATGAGTAATGAGTGAAAAAAACATCTCTATCCTTTAAAACCTGGGGTATGCAGCCAAAGCAATATCCATGGGAAACTTCAGAATTTTAAAAAGGTTTTGAAAGAAAGAAACAAGGAAATAAATGAATCAAGAATGTAGTACAAAAATATATATATGAACAAAGGAAAGTAAAAGATAGCAGAAATAAAGTAGAAAACATCTCCTCAATATAGACTTAATTAGTAAAGCCCGAAGTCTTTTTTTTTTTTAAATAGTAATAAAACACACAAACCCTGGTGAGGCTGATCATAAAAAAGATGAGCACACAGGGGCCCCTGGGTGGCTCAGTAGGTTAAAAGTCGGACTTCGACTCTAATCATGATCTCACAGCTTGTGGGTTCGAGCCTTGCATAGGGCTCTGTGCTGCACAGCCTGGAGCCAGTTTTGGATTCTGTCTCCCTTTCTCTGCCCCTCCCCTACTTGTGCTCTATCTCTCTCTCAAAAATAAATAAACATTAAAAATCTTTTAAGAAAAAAAGGTGAACACACTAACATTAGGAATGTAACTGAGGATGAAACAAGACTAAAATATTTAAAATATATAAACTAAAATTTAAATTACATATGTATATGTAAATTATATATGTTAAATTTCAATAAAAATTTAAAACTACTGCATATAACTTTGAGATCTAGGTGAAATGAGATTTCCTAGTAAAATATCAACTCTCAAAAATGGACTCAAGAAGAAGCACTATTGATTTCATTACTTTTTCTACAAGAAATTGAAAAGGAGTCATTCTTCCAACTCCCAATCCTGCCCCAAGGCCCAGGTTCAAATACTTTTGGGGGTAAATTCTACCAAATCTTCAGTGAACAAATGATTGTAAGTAGAGAAAAACAGGCAAGTTTCCCAATTCGTTCCATGAGGCTAATCTTAATTAACCCGATATCAATACTGGACTAAAATAGTAACCCCTTTAAAAAATAAAATATATAAAAAAAAAATAAAATAAAAAATAAAAAAATAAAAAATAAAATATATGAAACAAGTTTGCTTTCAACATACAGATATTGTAAATATAACAACCATGACCAAGTAGAGATATAAAAGTGTTTCAACATTAGAAAATCCATTCACGTAATTTATGCATTCCTTTATTCAACACTTACTGAAAGCCTATCACGTGACACTGTTCTGGATATAAGAGAAATCCCCACAGCCGTGAATAAAATAGTCCTTACCGTCATAGATTTCATAAACCAATGGGAGAAAAAAGAACAACAGATATGATAATTTCAGAGTGTTATCAATTCTATGAAGAGCATTTCCATGGTGATGTAATAATAAGTGGGGAGGGAATACATATTTTGATCAGCTCTCTTCTAACCCGTTTTATAAATCTGAGTTAAAATCTGAGGATGGGAAGGAACATTCTAGAAGGAGGAAAAAGTAGGAACAGTGTACTCGATGCAGGAAAGAGCAAGGAGGTTCGAGACCAAAATGAAGGCTAGTATTTCAGAAACAAAATGGTGGAGGAGAGGGGTTAGAGAGGTGAGAAAATGGGTTCTGTAGGGTAGGGGTCTGCAAACTACAACCCATGAGCACAGCCAAACCCGTTCATTTACATATAGCCTAAGGCTGCTTTCCCTACACCAGGGCCAAATTGAATAGCTGTGACTGGAGACCACACCCTGTGGCACAGAAAAAGATTTATTATGTGGCTATTTAAAGAAACCTTGCTGATGCTGCAGGGCCTCCTGCATGCCATAGGGGGTCTGGACTGTAGTCTAACTGCAATGGGGAGACACTGGAGAGATTTAGGCAGGAGTGTTATTAACTAACTTCCATTTTGAAAAGCTGTCTTTTGATCACAATAATGGTTACCTTTGGAGGAAGGTACTGACCAGTAGAGGGCATGAGGGAGACTTTTGAGATGCTTAAAAATGTTCTAGATCTTGCTTGATCTGGTAAGGTGGTTACCAAGCTTTATTTTTAAGTTGTATTTTCTTTTGGTATTTCAAGCTGTATTTTTAAGACTTTACTCCCACTTTACTCCGTACATATCATGCCTTAATAGAAAAGTTTTAAAAAGCACAAAAAAATGCACCATAAACAAAGTTAAGAGAAAAGGGACAGTGTGAGAAATTTGCAATATATAGCACACAAAATAATTAATACCCATTAGCAAAGAAATGAGAAAAGTCAAAAGATATAATTTAAAAATCAGTACAATATGGGGAAATGGGCACTCATAGGTCTGTTAGTGGGAATGTAAATTAGGAAAACCTTTTCAGAGAATGATTTGTCAATATCCATTAAATTAAAAAATCTAAAATACTCTTTAACCTAGCAATTTCGCTTCTAGGAACCCATCCATTTAACAAAAATACTTGAACATAATGAGCAAGTATGTATATATCCTAATGATGTTCAGCGCGGATCTCAAACAGAAAAGGCAGAAACTGCCCAAAATTGATAATTACCCTTTCACATTGGTATGATTATATAAATTATGGTACACTCATATTAGGGAAGTATGTATATGCAGATTTACATTAAAGATGCTTAAAGTGTAAACAGCAAATCATGCCATGCCATAGAATGCTTTTTTCAATGATACACACCAAACTGCTGAATGTTTGGAGTTTTAAGAGGAAAGCTGAAGGCATAGGAGGAGGTAAAGGGGTCTTTCATTGCACCCCAACATTTTATTATTAAAAATTTCAAACATACAGGAAGCCTGAAAGACCACCAATATATACCTACTTCTGAATTCTGTCATCAAATTTTTACTATACTTGAGTCTTGCATTTTTAATAAAATACACTTTTTTATGTTTACACAAATAAAGTGCTTCTAATATTACCTTGCACAAATGTGTTTGCTTTTCAGTCTATAATGCTTTTTTTCTAGTCAACAATATACTTTTAAATATATAGTTTGGCTTTTTAGCACATGGACATTGCCTTTTGTAATAAAAATATGGTTTCAATAATGAATAAATATTACTTTCATAGAATAGGATTTTTACAAATGATTATTCCTCTCTTGATTCTTCTAGACACCCATTTTCATTTATATATTCGATCCTAAAAATAAAAATGATAAGCACTTAAGAGGTAGTGATGCACTGCTGCTTTATTCCATGCTTGAGATAAAATTCCTTTCATTATTGCATCCCTGAAATAACTATCTTGCTTTTCAAGCTTCTTATTTAAATCATCCTCGTTTACGCATTTCTGTAACATTTTTCCCTTATAACTGGATATTACTTTAATTGCCTATTTTTGACTCAGTCATCTTTTCACTTTCAAGCCTGTTGCTGTTACACGTCATAGTAAGATCATATATGAGCTAGTATTATGACTGCAATGTAAAAAGAAAAAAACCTGAAAAGCAGTAAATGTAGAAAATTATCATCTCTCTTCCTCCAGTATTTTCACTGTTATTTTTCTGCGTATTATTTGTTCCCCATCCCATACGTGTACATGCCTTTGGTACTATCATTCCCCTTCCATCTCTGAAAAATACGTTTTACATCAGTTGCTGATGACGAACAGTCATTTTCACGTTAACTTCCTACTTCTGGTACTGAAGAATTAAACTTCTCAGTCAGTATTGTCTGTGATACATAACAAGAAACATAAAAATGAAAATTCTAAGCCTGCCCACAAAAATCACACGCTCAAAAAAAACCAATATTTACATAACTGCTACACTCAAAGACATAAAAATGGCGTTTCATTAATGCAAATTATTAAGGAATAAATCACGCAACATTCTTTCTTGAATGACGGTTAAAACACACAAACCCACACATATTTACGACTTCCATGGCAATTTCAAATCTATATACTCGCCAACCAACACAGAAAGTACTATTTCCACAAACGGAATGGGAACGAAACGAAGATTAAACCGTAAGCAAACGCACATACGCTATGTGTGCCAGATGAAATTTGAGATGTATTCAGACACTTACTGAATGGCCACTTTAACAATCAAAGCCAAGACACGGGTTGTGCAAATTTAATTAATTAAGCGAGTGTCAATCTGACATAGAGGAAAACTTGCCTATTTCCACCTGCGGCTTGAAATGAACAATACCAACGCACCCTCGTTTCCTTTCTCATTAACACAAGCTCCCGAAAACTATTTTTTAACCCCTCCGCCATTCCCTCCAATTACTTACTGTTAAAATTGTGCTCCTCAGGTTGCTTGTTGGTTAACCAAATATCTCCATATGGGTCTTCGTTATTCCACAGGGCCAGGTAATGACTCTTCCCGCCTCTTAAAGGCCTCTCCGGTACCTCCTCGTGCGCACTATTTCTGAATGGAGTTTCTAAAGAAATCTCCTCCAAGGTGTCTCCACAGTGGACATTATCTATGCACAGGATCCCCTGGCCTAATCTTTTCTCGTTGTAAAGACACGAGACTCTGGAAATTTTCATTTCTATGCCCACTTTAAGAATATTTTTATATACGAGAAAGTTCAGGCTGGGGTCCAGGTAGCACTTCTCCTGGTACACCCCGTCTGAGATCGTCACATCATAGCAATAAAGGGGAGGTTTCGGTATCGTGTCGCGTGGCTCATCCTCTAACAGGTATCTCTGGACGGCCAGCACAGCGACAGGCACCACCTCCGACGGGGTGACCCATTGCAGAGGTGAATCCGTTATTTGCTCCAGAACCTTTTGGATCCAGGACCTGCGCCCTTGGGCACCGACCCTTCGGATCACCCCTCCCGGGACCCCAGCCCGATTTCTCTCAGGGTTCGGCAAATCTAGCCCAGCATGTGAGGGGCCGGCCTGAGGCTGACCTAACTCACCAGACATTTTTAGGTAACTGCGTACTCCTCACTCCGCAAAGCTAGCCTGTCCCGTCAGAAGCGGAGACCACGAAACAGCGCGCTGGCGACTATCGCTATACTCTGATCCCGCCGACTGGTAAGGCTCCTCCCCGAAGCCTGGCTGCGAAGACGTTCCGCGCGCGCGCGTCAGCTCTCTAGCCCCACCCCTCCCTCAGCGCGCTTCCAACTCACAAGCGCTGTTACTAGGCAATCACACGCGTGGTTACGTAGCAGATCCTCCCACCTGGTGCTCGACAGAACGCCTGGGGGGATGGAGGGGGGGGGCCAGGGATATGCATTGGTCGCCATGGTACCCAAAATGTAGCAAGAGGGAGGGGGAGGAGCGCTCTGGGCTCTTCTAGAAAGGAGGGTGCTGAGAGGCAATGGAAGGGAGAAAGTGTCTGGAAGCGGGTTATGTAGTCGTAGCTCAGGTGTTTGGGGGGGGTTTGAGCCTTGGGCCAGCTACAAAAAGTAAATTAGAGTTTATTAATATACATGAATGTGATACCACAAGTCTTCAATAGTATGAACGGAACCAGATAATATATGCAGAGCCTTCAGGAAAGACCTTCGCACAAAAGTGCTCCCTAAACCTTGGTTGCTATCGCTATAAGCATTATTAGCATAATTGTCTGTAGTGACTCCCTGAGTGCAGGGTTGGTGAATTAGTGATTAAGTGCAAATGAAAACAGAAAATTATAGAACTGGCTTGATAAAAGAGCTGTCTTTAGAATTCTTAAAACGTACTTATGTTTTACACAATACCTGGCTTAACAGACAGGTAGGGAATAGAATGTCAGAAACTGCATTTCTAAACTACAAGACATGTATACAGAATGAACGTAAGGTGAAAACGCTGATAAGAAAGTCCAAATTAAAAATAAGATATTTATTATATGTGCCCACGTGTGCTAGTATACAGACATAACTCTAAGATGTTTCGGGTTTGGTTCCAGGCCACTGTAATAAAGTGAATATCACCATAAAGTGAGTGAAATGAATTTTCTGGTTTCCCAATTCGTAAAAAGTTATGTTTATACTATACTGTAGTCTATTAAGTGTGCAATAGCATTATGTCTAAAAAGAACAATGAACATACCTTCATTTAAAAATGTTGCTAAAAACTGGGGGATGCCTAGGTGGCTCAGCTGGTTAAGTGTCAGACTTCAGTTCAGGTCATGATCTCCCGGTTTGTGGGTTCGAGCCCCACATCGCACTCTGCACTGACGGTGCGGATGGAGCCTGATTGGGATTCTCTCTCTCTCTCTTTCTCTGTCCCTCCCCTGCTCTCACTTGCTCGCTCGCTCTCTCTCTCTCTCTCTCAAAATAAATAAATAAATAAACATTTAAAAAATATTGCTAAAAATCGTTAACCATAATCTGGGCTTTCAGTAAGTCATAATTATTTTGATTGCTTCAGTATTGATGGCTGCTGACTGATCAGGGGTTAAGGGTTGCTGAAGGTTCGGGTAGCTGCGCAATTTCATAAAATAAGACAACAATGAAGTTTGTCCCATTGATTGACTCTTCCCTTTCATGAATGAGTTCTCATATATAGCACGAGATGCCATTTGATAGCATTTTACCCACAGTAGAACTTCTTCCAAAATCGGAGTCAATCTTTTCAAACCCTGACACTGCTTTATCAACTAAGTTTATGTAATATACTAATTTTTTAATGTTTATTTATTTTTGAGAGAGAGAGAGAGAGCATGAGCGGGGGCGAGGGAGACACAGAATCCAAAGCAGGCTTCAGGCTCTCAGCTGTCAGCACAGTGCCTTATGTAGGGGCTCCAACTCAGAAACTATGAGATCATGACCTGAGCAGTGGGTAGTCGGCCGCTTAACCGTCTTAGCCACCCAGGTGCCCCAAGTTTATGTAATCTAAATCTTTTGTTGTCATTTTAACAATATTCACCAGTAGATTCCATCTCGAGAAACCACTTTTGTTCATCCGTAAGAAGCAACTCCTCATCCCTGAGAGTTTTATCATGAGACTGCAGCAATTCTATCACATCTTCAGACTCCACTTCTAATTCTAGTTCTTTTGCTATTTCTACCACATCTGCAGTTACTTTCTCCACTGAAGTCTTGAACATTCAAATTGTAAAAAACAGAATACTTGTGAAGCTCAATAAAGTGAAGTGCAATAAAACGAGGCATACCTGTACACAGAATGTAGTAATTGTCCTAAAAATACTTCACAAAGATGGCTATAGGCTTGTTTTGATTATATTAATCTCCTTTTGCTATTTCACCACTGTTTATTAACCCTTTATGAAGTCCCTACCATGGTGCATGCAGTGTTCCAGGCCATTGGGAATAACTGTTGTGAGGCTCCTTTAGCCAAGCTTCTTCTCATTGCTTGTGCTGAAAACTCCTGACATTATTTAACCAATTCATTCATTCTGCACATATTTCTTGAGATCTGCTCTAGGCAGAGTACAATCTTCCTATGGAGACCAAGAAACATAATAAGGGGAAAGGGAGTGGAGGGGCAACAGTTAATATTTTATTTAGAATGTGAGGATTAGGGATGGGCTCTCGAAAATAGAGACTGAACAGAGTGGTGACCTACAGGAAGTGATGGAGTAGGTGTGTGGGTGTCTTTGGAAAGTACATTTGAATCAGAGAGAACAGCAAAAGCAGATTCCGTAAGACAAAAGATGCTTGATATTTTCAAGGAAATGCTAAAGCTTTTGGCTGGAGTGGAAGTGGGAGGGAGAGAGTGGTAGGAGATGAAGTTAGAGAGGTAGCAGGTCTCTGTGGGCTTTCCTCTGCTTTGAGGAGGAGAGTGACATACTTCAGCTTGAGCCCCACTTCCTTCATGAAGACTCCCATAAACAATTCATTCTAGAATGATCTCTGTCTCTTATTGGTATCACCTGCTATGTATCACTTATTTAGCATTTATCATCTAAGACCTTGTAATTAGAAACCAAACTTCTAATGTATGTAGTTTGCCCCTCTAACTCAGGGTTTCTCTATCTGGACACTCTTGACATTTTGGGCCACAGAATTATGTGTTGTGGGGTGTCTTGTGCACTCGGCGACGTTTAGCAGCATTCCTGGGTTCTGCCATCTAGATGCCGGTAGAACTAATCTCCCCCCACCCCCCCGCAAGTTGTGACAACCAAAAATATCTCCAGATATGGACAAATAACCCATGGGGGGCAATATTACCCCTGGTTAGAAACCACTAATTTAACTAGACTGTAAGCCTTTCAAAGACCACAAACTGATTTAGTCTTTTTTGTTTTGCATAGTTCTTTCATTACTGTCATGCATAAAAGGCACTCAAATATTTTAAATAAATGAAACTTCTAATTCCTACCACCTCTCCACCAAAGTGAATATATGTAAGTGTCCCTGTCTATAAACAAATACAGTAAACAACAATTCAGACATACAAAACACAAAATAATTAAGCTCCCTGAGTACTTTGTTAGGTTCGCTGCTGAATCTCCAGTGTCAAAATAAGTATCTAGCATATAGTGGGTGCACAATCGTATTTGTTAAATGAATAAATGCTATTTTGGATTTTTATTGGATTTACTGCAAGAGACATTAAATATCAGCTATCTCTCTTATTTATGCAAGAGGAATTGTTCAAAATATTTCAAATTTGATCCATCAGCATCCCCTCGACTAAATACTCAGTAAAGTTTATGCAGAATAGTATTGTATCATCATATTCTAAGTTCTTCCAGCTAATTCATATAAGATAAATATTGGTAGTGGTGCTCAGTGTTTGAGTAACTAATGGAATCAGGAAAAAATAGCACCTATTTTTTTTTTTTTGCAATACCACACACGATAAAGATGTACAGTGACTATTGGCACATATTTGGAGTCTTGTATTGCTCTATTGACAATCTGCTGATAGTGCATCTCCCTAAGAATTAACTACTTGGGTAGTTACCACATCTATGTCCCTGGTAGGACATTATAAGTGTCTGTTTTACGGTTACTTACACAATAACAGAATAAGTAAGAGAAATAACACCAATAATGGATATCATTTAGGTTACTGATTTTTTTTTTCTCCCCTCATATCTGGATTATCTGTTATAGTGTCCGCCAGAGGGTAAAATAGTAAAAGCAGGCAAGATAATTTTATTTTATTAAATGGTGATATTCTAGGATATTCAAAACACTTTAAAACCCTTTAAATACATCATGAAATTAATTTTGGTAGTCCACTAAACTTGGCATACAGGTAACAGCCATATTAATTTTTCTCACCTTTAAAGTTAGATTAATGAAAGTAGTCACGGTTGTTGAAATATTAAATAAATAAATAAATTCATATGGATAAGTACTTAAAACAGTTTCTGGCACATACCTAGAATTCAATGAATGCTAGTGATTGTTAATATTATTTTAAAAGAAGATATTGACATAACATAAAATCATAGAAAGCTAGAACTGTAGGAACCATTATATATCCACTAGTTCAGTGTTCTTTAAACTGAGCATTGTGAGGCATTAATGAGGTCATGAAGTCAATTTATTGGGTCACAGGTAGCAGTTAGAAGCATGAAAAAGATGGGGCACCTGGGTGGCTCAGCTGGTTAAGCGTTTGACTTCCACTCAGGTCATGATCTCACGGTTCCTAGGTTCAAGTCCCCCATCGGGCTCTGTGCTGACAGCTAGCTCAGAGCCTGGAGCCTGCTTCAGATTCTGTATCTGTACCCTCTCTCTCTGACCCTCCCCTGCTCACGCTGTGTGTGTCCCTCTCTCAGAAATAAATAAATAAAACTTTAAAAAAAAAGCATGAAAAACAATAGAACAGGGGTGCCTGCGTGACTCAGTCGGTAAGAGTCCTACTCTTGATTTTGGCTCATGTCATGAGTTCAAGCTCTGCATGGGGCTCTGCGCTCCCAGTGCTGAACATGCTTGGGATCCTTTCTCTCTCTCTCTCTCTCTCTCTCTCTCAATAAGTAAGTAAATAAATAAATAAACATTAAAAACATAGAACCGAAAATGTCAGGGTGCATCCCACAAAGTAAAGGTAAGGGTTGTTTTGTAAAATTTTTGTTTCAGATTTGTTGG